CTTCCTTTATGCTTTACATGTACATTTTATTACTACTATTAGCTGATGCTTTTTTACATAACTCGTTAGTACGTTAGACTATAGTGAGAATTGTAAAATTATTGACTACATGCCAAATTGTCATTCTTCTTGTTTCGACACTTTTCTTGGCAGCTGCATACATTATGACGTGTGTATTTGTATATTTGTAGATAATGGAAAGGCTAAGAGCAAGCCCATACCTCAGCAATCTGACACCACAACCATCACTACCAGCAACGCCACCACTAACAACAGCACTGGAAGTAAGTTTGTATTTATACATACATGTATTCAATACATGCACATGTACATGTACATATCATGTAGCTGCTTAATTTTGAGGGTACAATTTTGTTGTTTTTGCGGATTTTCCATATCAGCAAAAGTTAATTCCGTAAAATTATCTGTCTCAACCTACATGTGTATAATCACATGTACTTTACATGAAATGGCTCTCTTGGGTGTGGCTTCATGGAACGTGAACCACGAGAGTCAATTTGTAAAAAAAGACTTTTGGCCTGATTTGCGAAAGTTCATTGCCTTGAAACTTAAATTTGTGTCTATACAGTATACATGTGCACAACATGCATAAATTTGGTTCATATCATAGCATGTTTATTAGATATTTTCACATGTTAAGGCTTTAATTACATGCTTCTAATTTATCCTAATGCTTGAAGTTATTTTAGATATTTTTTGTTTATACTGATAGTGATTCTGTTATTGTAAGCTGGTCATACTGTGTGTGTACATGTATGGCCTGCCTGACATGATGTTATGATTGAGTGTAGACTGATACTGATACAGTACAAATTGCTGTAATGAATGCTACCCAGTGTTCAAAGCTTATGCACATAGTTCACTAATTCATTTTAATATGCCAATATACTAGATAGTTTACTAAAAATGAATTAGTATATTACTAGTTCACTAGTTTATTTATTATACCAATTCACTAATATACTAGTTAGTATACTAATTATGAGTCGATATATCACTAGTTTACTAATTTCATTTTAAGGATTGTTCCCTACACCTGGTGTGGATGTCCCTGAGTCCCAGCAGTATCATCCTGAGGAGCTTAACCGTAAAGCACTAGCCATCATTGAAAGAGTCCGACAAAAATTAACAGGTAAATAATGATCGTAATCATTGTATATATTAATAATTAATGTGAATGCTTTATAGCTCCAAATTTTTATTTTAAAATGTGTCTAAAGCATGGGCAAACGTTTAAGAAAAATTTTACTTCACGTGCAGCTCTGCCTGCTATAGTATAATGGAAATTTAATTTTAATAAAAATGGGCTTTTTGAGGAATAAATTTAGAGCAATACAATACATGTATCTAATGCAAATACATACAAAGTGCATATTAAGATTAAGAGTCATTTATTTTCTTTTTATAGGAAATGATTTCCGTCATGAGAAGATGATAAATGTTGATCGACAGGTTCAGCTATTAATAGAGCAGGCGACGAGTCACGAGAACCTGTGCCAGTGTTACATTGGGTGGTGTCCCTTTTGGTAGTTAATGAATAAATGAAACTAGAATAAAGTCGTGGTCTTATTATTTTTATACATAACAAGAATGATTCAATATTGTGTATTCATTTTAACTGGAGAATTTAAATAATAGTTATTTTTGTGGTTTTATTATGTTAAAAATAATTATTGTAAAAGCACGTACCAGTATATTATACTGATGGACCAGTGAATCTCCCCAAAGTGAATCCTACTTATTATAGTAATGTTACCATGCTACTAATACATTATTATGTGTACCCTCTTCAAGAGATGGTTGGAGACTAATTATTGTTCCTTTTAAATTTATGTACACCATACTAGTAGACTACAATATCATGCTTTATGTATGGTTATTAGTATTAATTGGATGGTTGGTCTAAGTGATGAACTGGTTGGTTCATTTGTTGAGGTGGTTGTCCCGACCACTATGGGCAGAACTATGCCTCTTATGTCTTATGCTAGTAGCCAGTACTTTTAGATCTACTTGGTAAGACTATAATTTCATGTAATAATAATAATGAATGATAATAATAATAATGACAGTAAAAATTGTAATAATGATTGTGACAGAGAAGGTTAAAAAAAATAAAGAGTTTAAGTATAATCATGACGAACATGTTTCACTTCTTTTGAATGAAATAATAAGCCACTCCACCAACTATCCCTATATTATGGTAAGCAAAATATTATGAACATTTTCATATAAACTATTATAATATACTCACCAGCAATGACTAGAATAATGACGACCAGTATACATATTAGAATCATCCACAACTATAATAAGATAAAATAAGAGGAAAATGTGATTAGATTTGCTTATTTTTCCTTTGGTGTATCTATTAATCATATTATAGTTATTAAAAATGATTGAGGATAATTGCTATTGGCAAAACTTAAACAATGGGTTATGCTCAAAAAATAATTATATTAAATTCATAGTAAACAAATAGGAATAATCATGCTATCTATTGTCTCAATGTAAATAATACTCATTTAAGGTTCATGCATATTAGTCTTTGATAGTCAGAAAATGTATGTGGTAAAAAATCACCTTAAAATTCTGCCACCAAAACTTCCTTCTCATTTGAGTAGCTCGTTTCTGAAACAGGTCAGCATCCTCACTCAAATGCGCTACAATAAAATAATAACAATAAATACATATAATGTGTAATAATGACAATAATAAAGCAATGAGTGATGTCTCTGTACAGTAGAGGAAGCTAGATTAATACACAATGTATTGTATTGTGACAGGAATTTGATCCAGAAGTAACTACACAAACCAAAACACATCAAGCTAAGCCTGTTCAAAGCATAATGTTATGTGTTATGATATGTACATTATTTGTTTTAAATAGTAATTATGGTTGTGTACTTAATAATGTATGTGTGTTCTATAATTATCATTCACGTAGACTCCCCCTAATGGGAAAGCATCAAGAACATAATTAATGAAAGAATGTAAAACATTGAGTAGCTCAGCTCACCTTAGTACTCAGGATATGGAGAGTTATACATGATGTACGTGTAACTGTCCATCTGTCTACTGAGTGAGCTGAGCTACTCAATGTTTTTACAAGTACATGTACATGCATCAAAAGTTGCGTGCTTCATTTACCATTAGTAACTGTAGCATTAGTTACATATCTCAGCTCATAGGCTTTTTTAATCAATAAGTAGGAGTGACATTATTATTATGAGACAAAGAATGACAAATGACAATCAATGGAAAGTAGGCCCTACCTACCCACTAATGCTAGAAGGGCCATTTTACTTAGTGTATATAGTGATTTTAGTATAAGAATGGGACAATAGCATAATGTGTTTTATTTATTTTGCATTGTTATTTTTACAGAGATGGGAATTAGATTAGTGTTTATCTTTTATGGCAAATTTCAATTAATGCACATCATGGTAAACGTACTTGCACTGTATAGCAATACAGACTACAATATAATTATTAATTTTAACCATCACAGCAAGTCACAATCCAGGAAGTTTAAACTTTTAAGTGTCAAAATAAATTAGTACTATGGCTACTCTACTAACAATTCTATAGGCCAAGAAGTACAAGCATACGGTAATGGGTATAGCTGCTTTTATTAAAATGCATCAACTGTGTGATTCCCTTGTGAAGCACTATCATAAATATTGATGGTGAAGCACAGCCTAGTACTGTCATGTACTACCTCATACTGATTACCTCACTTTCTGGTAGGTACCACTTTCTGGTAGGTACACATGAAAACAACAGTGCTACCAGGCTATGAATAAGCTAAGCAGGAGGCTACTTATTCTGACAGAGACTTAGGTATAGCAAAACCACTTATCAATGGCCAAACTGACCTGCTGTGGCATCCAAGTCATCTAGTTTTTGTTCTCTCTCGTTCACCTTTTGAATATTGTGTCTCATTACATTTTTAACCTAACAAGAACCTAACATAAGGCTTGATACGAGAAGATACTGACCTGATCTACTTGTCCCTTTAATTGGCTCAACTGTCCCTCGTCACCAGTCGCCGCTCCGTAAGACCTGATACAACAGAACTATTCACAACAACAATGATAATAATGATCCCTCACATGTCTTGTATATTTAAGAATCTCTTCAGACTCAAAGAGCAGCAACAAGAGCAGATCTAGTATCTACACTTGTTGAAAGTTTTGTCTTCCGCATTCATGAGCAATCAACCATGCAAACCATACAAATTAGACTTGACCTAGCCCACAACCAGCCGCCCACGCTATTGAGTATGGTGGAGGAGATTGTGTGCTTCAAAGCTGAAGAGGTTGTGAATGTTCTGCCTGGAGGCTGGAGTTGAACTGAAGGAAGGGCCAGTATTATGGTTAAGACTCATTTATTGACTGCATGGTGGCTTCTTAGGTAATAATAATATGTAGCATAGTCATAGGTTACGTAGTCTATAAATAATATCTATGGTGAAACCATTCCTCATTGCTTTGTATGCTAGGGAATGGTCTGTCTAGCAAGATTCAGTTATACATTTATATAATAATTTAAAGAATAGAATTATTGAAGAAGTACATATGCTGCACAGGTAATGTACTGTGGACAAATCCTATAATTTAAAAATCCTATAAATCCTATCTCTTGATCCTATAATTAGGCTATGTATATATTTATATTTCAATTGCAGTGAGAGAGAGAGAGAAAGAAGTTTATGACCCTCAATTGATTGTTAATAGTTTCATAGGTAGATTTATATGTAGTAATGGTCAGTTCAAGCTACTGCAATCGATTGGCTTGTGAGAGTATTTTGTATACTCGATCACGTGACCTCTCTCTCATTTATTCCTCTCTCTTTTATAGTGTATTGTTGAAATCTCAGTTTTCAATTTAATGACAGAGCACTGCACAATAGGATAAATCAGGTTTGACCTTCACTGTAAGTTGTACAAAGAAACCTACATGTACATGTACCACTATAGCCACCTTAAAAAGAATGAGGACATTTTCATAATGACCCATAATGATCCCAAAGCTTAATATTACCATAAGTCCATATAGTATACCAGTATACATGTGTCTACTTGTACTTGTAATACATGCAATGAATATGATTACTGAAGTACAACTCACAATAGACTTTTACTAATGCTTGCTTTATAAAGACACAGCATTATTCTCTCTTTCTTTAGTCTCTATCATTATTAGATCTAGGAGAATTAAAACTATGATGGGACCTGTGTTTGAACCAGAAGATGTTATTCCTCTTGGCCCATATACTAACCTTCTGCTTCTCTTTAATGTTTCATTTTAAAGAGGATGTCAACCATCTTTGTAATTTTACACAATTTTATTAATTTTTATTATAAATTTTTGTTTATCTACATTTTGCAATGTTAATTCATAGATACTAAGCTACTACAGTAAGGTGAGTAATTCTAAGGTGGATATTCTTGTACTCCTTGTTCATAAGTAATTTAGTTGAGGGTAATTATTAATGCATTCTTATTTGACCAATACATATACTTGTTTTCATATTGTGTAGAAAGTTTGAGTAGATTCTAATCACAATTGGATTTTTTGTGAGTTTTTAAACATAGATAATCTATGTTTAAAACTACCATACCAATACATTGTCCGCGCCGCGTAAATCTAATAACTAGCCACGCCTTCGAGTTGAGCTCACGTGAATTGGAGGAAGTTTTGACCAAATTTGGTCAAACTAAAAACTGCTGACTATCCGTAGGTGGAGTATAGATCTGACCAATCAGATTCGCGCGGTAAGGTCCTTTCCCGGGAAAGCTCCATCGGCTATAAAAAGAGCTGCTCTTCCTCTTCTGGTCATTTCTGCCTTTTTTTGGCTCCAAAGAATGAGTCTTCAAGAGCTCTCTCTCCTTAGTCAAGAGATACTGCTGCTGTTAGTCATGGCCACAGTCTCCTTCTCTCTCTCACTCTCTTTCAATCACTCCTCCATTTATATTTTCTCTTTTCTTTACAGGTTACCAGCAGTTGGTTCAGTTTTCTTGTAAAGCTCATGGTGGGTTGTGACCCTTTCCTTCAATGGCTGCTATGGTTAGTCATGGCCACTCTCTTGTAAACACTTCTTTATTTATATTTTTCATTTCTTTACAGGTTACTAGCAGTTGGTCCTTCTTTTTTATACCCAACAGCAATCCTGAGGCTTATTCACTTTTCCAGGCAGTTTTTCTCTTTTCCAAAAGGTCATGAAGGATTGTGACCTCTTTCTTTAATGGCTGCTACACCTTCTATGGTTAGCCATGTTACCGTCTCCCTTTCTCTCTCATTTCTTTTTCTTTACCATTTTCTTTATTATTTTTTCATTTTTATCACTTATTTTTCTTCTTTTTACAGGATCCTGTGCTCTAAAGCTACCACGTGCTTTTTAAAGTTCCCGCCATTTTTTCTGAGGCCACGCCCACCCAATGACTGGTCTAATTAATTGGGAACAATGGCTATGATAGCAAGTGAGGATTTTGCTTCATTTAAGACTGAGCCTGTGAGCCATGTATCTTAACATGATGCTGTGTACATGTAGTTATTATAGCAGCCATTAGTTATTATAGACTCTTGTTTCTCACTAGTTGTTGTTGTTTACCATTAGTTGTTATTATAGTCTCTTGTAGCTGTTGTTATTGTTTAGCCTCTTGTTTGCCTTTTTTCTATTATAATTGTTGTTTGTTGTACATGTAGTTGCTATAGGACTACTCCCTATTGTTATTTGTTGTGATAGTGTATACTGCTCATGTTAACTTGTTTTCTTTTTATTTAATTTTAGGAGCTGCACAAGGACATGCTTCAAGTTGTCGGAAAGACTCGTATGTTCCCGTCAAACTATTCAAGTCTAGAACAGTCGAAATTTCATGAAAGTTTAGAAGATTTATGGAGGAGTTCACTCAAGGATATATTGCAGGATGGATTCTCATGGATCAATCAGCAAGTCAATAGCTGTAATGCTAGCTGGGCTGGCCGACCAGACCTGGCTAGTAACGCACTCATACATGTCCTTATATGTATGTCCCCATTTGCATGCGTATAATACCATTAGGGAGGGGCTGGATACACGAAACATCGCACGAATGTTCTAATGTAAAGAACCCTGTAGTGTAAGGACACTCCCCGTTCCTACCACCATGCCTGATATGCTTGTTATAGTTGTCCCATCATACACTAGGCAGTATGTTTCTGGTAATATTTGTGAGGGAGATCCTGTCAAGAATGGAAAGCTGGTGCATTGATTGCAGTAACACGTTAGTGGGTGTGTGTGTGTGGGTTTGTACCCAACCCACATACACACCCTCATTAGTGTGTCCAGCTTTTCA